CCCCATGAGATGCCCCTGGTACCTTTTTCATAGGCATTTTTGAGTTTGGGCAAGGACACAGGGGCCCCATGATCCCCTATTGCCCGGGGGCCCCATGAGTTGTCAGTCCGCCCCTGTTACAGTATATGAGAAAGTATTCTATACAAGATTTGCTAGTTCTATAGCTAGGAACGCCTAACCTTGATGAGCAATATACATTATCATTGTCAACGAAATTACTGACACTGTCAAACCAAGCCAGAGAGATAGCAATATTATCCATGTTACTTACTTGCTGTACTTCACTTTCTCCATTTGAAATTTTCTCTGTATATACAAATGAATTGAATATTTTCTGAAACACAAAAAGAGAAAAAAAAAAAGTGTAAGAGAATGAGACGTAAAGACCTTAGCCAGGTTTATATATAGTCCTTTGGGCTATTATTATTATACAGGATTATATTATGAACTACAACTGTCAGAATAAGGCTCCATGCACACGGGGCGTTTTAAGAACGCTGATAACATTAACTGTGTAAAGTCACGTTAAAAACATGAGTTTTTCAGCGTTTTTTCATTTGCGTTTACAAGAGTTTTTTTTTTTTGTCTTTTACAGAAAAAATTTTTTTTTTGGGTAAAATAAAATACAAAAATGCTGGTTTGCCGTGATTTCCCGCATTTCGGTGTTAGAGCGTTTTTACAGCTAAAAAACTCACTAGTCCTGAGTTGTTTTTTTTTCCAGCCAAAAAAAAAAACGTCCCTGCCAAAAACCGCTGATTCCCGTCTATGTGTGCATGGACACATAGGATAACATGCTGAGGGGGTTTACTGGCTGCAGAAAAAACAGCCGCTGTAAAATGTCCCGTGTACACGAGGACTTAGAATTATAGGCCTGCCTAACGCTAACTAAAAGGTTCTACGAGCTTTTACATGTTAACCCCTTTTCAGACGCCTGCCAGTCGCCCGACCCCAGCCAGTCATCGCCCCACTTTCCCCTGGTCCTTGCACTTCTTTGCTGCCAGAGCCTTTTTTCTCCACATGGACATTTTAGGCACGATGATTTAGTAAAACCCCCAAACATGTGTGCGTGTTTTGTTCCTCCTGTCTTCTTAAACAGTTTATAAATTAATAAAAACATTGAAATACAACCCCCCCCCCCCCCACACACACACTTTTTTTTTTAAAGCAGGGACCCTGGAGAATAAAATACAAATTTTTTATGTTATAAATTAGCATAACCATTTCTCAAAAACACACTTGAGATCATTTTAGTGCAAATAAAATCATGTTACACATTTATTTGGTAAACTATAAAAGGAGGTTGGAAACAATAAATGGATACCAGACATGTCCAGCTTTAAAACTGCAGGCTCCTGTGAAACTCTGCCTTTACAGGTAATCATTTTAGAGTTAGCCATGAATGGCAGCCCTAGAGTCATTGCTCTCAGTCTGACATGTGTGGTGATACCAAACATGTGTGGCACATACAATGATTTCATACACAGGTGCACCCAATGCATGCATTTACAAATGGATGTCCATGTATGTTGGGGAGGTGGCTTTAAATACATTTTTTTTATTTGTTACTTTAAAGCTCCATGCATACTAGCATAAAAAAAATGCTGCTGCTACGGGTGTGTAGTGGTTTGCGTTTTTTTTTTTTTTATGCCTCTAAGGCTACGTTCACACTAGCGCTGTGTGCAGGCGGCAGAGAGGCGTTTGGGAAGCGTTTTTACCGCTTCCCAAACGCCTCTGCCAATTCTGCACATTACAGCGCATGGTGCTGTTCTAACGGGAGCATTTGCGGCGAGGCAAAACGGACGCCTCTGGAGTCAGGAGGCGTTGAAGCCTCCTACTCTCGTCTATGGTGCCGCTCCGCAAACGCCCAGCCGGCGTTTGCGGTGCGGTTGCGGGGCATTTGCGGAGCGGTAACACCACTCAAACTGCATTATAGGCGTTTGTGGGGCGTTATTAACGCTCGGCAAACGCCTAGCAACCGCCGCTAAACCACGCATGCGGCGTTTGCAGAGTGTTAAAAAAACGCTCCGCAAACGCCGGACCAACGCTTGCCAAACGCTATAGGGGCGTTTGGCAAGCGTTGGCAAAACAGCCAAGTGTGAACGAGCCCTAAGAGCAAATGTTATCCTATGTGTCCATGCACACTTTGCAGTCTAGAGGCGTTTATAAGCTCAGATTATATATGATATGAATTTTTGTGACAAAATTTTGTGGCAGAAAAAAAAAACAAAAAACAAAAAAAAAAAACCCACACTAACCCTGGGTTCACATACGTGCGGCTCCATATATCGCATGTGATTCGCACAGGAACCGCACCGTATTTCTGTGCAAATCACATGCGATTTGTGTGCAGTGCGATCGGAGGCGTACATTTTGTATGGCTCTAATCGCATCACACCAGCACCAAAAACATGCAGGACCCACTAGAAGCGGATATCATAGGTATTCACACCTATGCGATCCAATTCTGCACATCGCACTGTGTTTTGCGGACCGCTTTCGGGGTGTTAACTTAAAATACACACCCGCAGCGGTTCAAGTGAATGGGGAGCGACTCTGATGTGGTGTGGAATTCGCACTGAAAACCCTGCGAATTCCGCACCGCATCAGTGTGAACCTGGGCCAAAAGCTCCAAAATGCTGCTAAGCGCAGGTGCCCAGCATTTTTTTTCCCTCTTAAAGGAGAAGTACAGCCAAAGCTCACTTTGTCAGGGAAGTCAGGTATGGGTGGTGTTTGGGGGGTCAGAGCAGACAGCATTGACTGACAGTCACTGCTCACAGCAGTGGTGAGAACCAAATGATCAGTGGTCATGATGGCTGAGTTCCCACCCTTAGAGCTGGCGGGGGGACAGATCCTCCTAGATAAGTATGATGTAAAAAAATAAAAATAAAACAATTTTTATATATATATATATATATATATATATATATATATATATATATTTTTTTTTTTTTTTTTCCCCATGCTTCTCTTTTAAGAAAAAAGGAACTACCCAGACGCCCGCACCAAAAAAGCCTATAAACCGCTAAACCCTAAGCACTGCCAAACGCCTGCACACACAAAAAAAAAAAGTTAAATATGATTTTTTTTTTTTTAATCTAGGGTTTTTTCTGTTTTTTTTAAGCTCTTAATATGTATGGAACCTAATTAAAAGAGCCATCGCTGGAGTTCTTGTAGACAAGAAATGGCTGCAAAGTGCATTTTATTTATAATAAAAAGGGGGGTGCAATTGTTTATGATATACAGTTCTTTACCAAACTAAATACCTTTCATTTAGAGTGTACATCACATCTCACGTTTTTCATACACAAAAAAAAAAACCCCTAAATTTAAATTCACTAATTCAGTTCATTTTGCTTAAAAAAAAAAAAAAAAAAAGTCAGCAAGCTTCTGCAAGGGGAACTATATCCATCGGTTCTCCAGCGCCATGATTCCCCGGAGCTCTCCATCTGTTTCCATTAGCTGGGCTGAGATAACGTCACTCTCGCACATGCGCAGGAGTTCAGTCGTCCCGGCGTTGCTGAAATATAGTGTGAACAGACAGATAGGTGACTTTAATGCAGAAGAGCATGTTTGTTCTACATTAAAAATCCTGTCTGTTCTCAATTTTTTTTTTTTTTAAAGTAAAATTCCACTTGAAGAATAATGAGTATAATCAGAGCAGTGACTGTGCCCTTTGAACCTGTCAGATATACCCCTGGGCGTACATGTACCATATGATTACAACTGCTATAGGTGACCCCCCCCCCTCCCCCATTAAATGGAATACTGCAGCACACTTCCATCCTCTCAGCTGAAGGAAAACTTTTACATGTTTACTTGGACAGGTTTCTTTTGTTTAACCCTTTCTGCCTGCTCCAGTGTCCCTTTAAAAAAGTTCTGAGGATCCAGGGGGTGAGGATCGGTGATCCTGTGACCATCGTTGGTCAGGTCAGGGGGGGGGGGGGAACAGCGCCCCATCGTTGGTGTCAGTGGGGGGAACAGCGCCCCATCGTTGGTGTCAGTGGGGGGGGAACAGCGCCCCATCGTTGGTGTCAGTGGGGGGGGAACAGTGGGGGGGGAACAGCGCCCCATCGTTGGTGTCAGTGGGGGGGGAACAGCGCCCCATCGTTGGTGTCAGTGGGGGGGGAACAGCGCCCCATCGTTGGTGTCAGTGGGGGGGGGAACAGCGCCCCATCGTTGGTGTCAGTGGGGGGGGAACAGCGCCCCATCGTTGGTGTCAGTGGGGGGGGAACAGCGCCCCATCGTTGGTGTCAGTGGGGGGGGAACAGCGCCCCATCGTTGGTGTCAGTGGGGGGGGGAACAGCGCCCCATCGTTGGTGTCAGTGGGGGGGGAACAGCGCCCCATCGTTGGTGTCAGTGGGGGGGGAACAGCGCCCCATCGTTGGTGTCAGTGGGGGGGGGGGAACAGCGCCCCATCGTTGGTGTCAGTGGGGGGGGAACAGCGCCCCATCGTTGGTGTCAGTGGGGGGGGAACAGCGCCCCATCGTTGGTGTCAGTGGGGGGGGGGAACAGCGCCCCATCGTTGGTGTCAGTGGGGGGGGAACAGCGCCCCATCGTTGGTGTCAGTGGGGGGAGGAACAGCGCCCCATCGTTGGTGTCAGTGGGGGGGGGAACAGCGCCCCATCGTTGGTGTCAGTGGGGGGGGGGGTGTCAGTGGGGGGGGAACAGCGCCCCATCGTTGGTGTCAGTGGGGGGGGAACAGCGCCCCATCGTTGGTGTCAGTGGGGGGAGGAACAGCGCCCCATCGTTGGTGTCAGTGGGGGGGGAACAGGCCCCATCGTTGGTGTCAGTGGGGGGGGAACAGCGCCCCATCGTTGGTGTCAGTGGGGGGGGGAACAGCGCCCCATCGTTGGTGTCAGTGGGGGGGGAACAGCGCCCCATCGTTGGTGTCAGTGGGGGGGGAACAGCGCCCCATCGTTGGTGTCAGTGGGGGGGGGAACAGCGCCCCATCGTTGGTGTCAGTGGGGGGGGAACAGCGCCCCATCGTTGGTGTCAGTGGGGGGGGAACAGCGCCCCATCGTTGGTGTCAGTGGGGGGGGGGGAACAGCGCCCCATCGTTGGTGTCAGTGGGGGGGGGAACAGCGCCCCATCGTTGGTGTCAGTGGGGGGGGAACAGCGCCCCCCATCGCCCCATTGGTGTCAGTGGGGGGGGGAACAGCGCCCCATCGTTGGTGTCAGTGGGGGGGGAACAGCGCCCCATCGTTGGTGTCAGTGGGGGGAACAGGAACAGCGCCCCATCGTTGGTGTCAGTGGGGGGGGAACAGCGCCCCATCGTTGGTGTCAGTGGGGGGGGGAACAGCGCCCCATCGTTGGTGTCAGTGGGGGGGGGAACAGCGCCCCATCGTTGGTGTCAGTGGGGGGGGGGGGGGGAACAGCGCCCCATCGTTGGTGTCAGTGGGGGGGGGAACAGCGCCCCATCGTTGGTGTCAGTGGGGGGAGGAACAGCGCCCCATCGTTGGTGTCAGTGGGGGGGGGGGGGAACAGCGCCCCATCGTTGTTGGTGTCAGTGGGGGGGGGGAACAGCGCCCCATCGTTGGTGTCAGTGGGGGGGGAACAGCGCCCCATCGTTGGTGTCAGTGGGGGGGGGAACAGCGCCCCATCGTTGGTGTCAGTGGGGGGGGGGGAACAGCGCCCCCCCATCGTTGGTGTCAGTGGGGGGGGGGCCCCATCGTTGGGAACAGCGCCCCATCGTTGGTGTCAGTGGGGGGGGGAACAGCGCCCCATCGTTGGTGTCAGTGGGGGGGGAACAGCGCCCCATCGTTGGTGTCAGTGGGGGGGGAGGAACAGCGCCCCATCGTTGGTGTCAGTGGGGGGGGAACAGCGCCCCATCGTTGGTGTCAGTGGGGGGGGGGGAACAGCGCCCCATCGTTGGTGTCACCTGCTCCAGCCTGGGCTCGCTCTCTCCCTCTCCTATCTACAGCCTGCAGCAGCAAAATTTGCACTTACCTGTCAGCTGTCTTCCTTCTCTGGCCTCTCTCTTCACTCGCTCCTGCAGCTCCCTCGATCTTCTTTGATCTACGCGTGCTGCCGCTCGGCTCCTCCTCTCCAAGCTCCACCTCCTCGCCGGTGATTGGCCGCCTGTGTGCCTCTCCTGAGCTACAGTTCCGGTGGCCAATCAGCGGCGAGGAGGCGGAGCTGTTGAGTGATCCCGGAGGCGTGGCCAGGTGACAGGGGCAGCATATCATCCCGCCCACAGATCGCCTGAGACAGAGGAGCGGTGTCTCGGTTCCTAAGACCATCGGAAATATGTATTTTCCGATGGTCTTAGGCGACCCCTGTGAAATGGTCGTTCGACCCCCAAAGGGGTCGCGACCCCCAGGTTGAGAACCGCTGCTCTAGAATGTTTCATTATGTTTTTAGAATCTGTAAGGCCTCATGCACACCTCTGGGTTCCGGAAATGCAGGCAGAAAAACTAGTTTCTGCTTTAGAAAATGCATGTAGAAATGCGTATTTCAGGCCACATTTTCAGAAACGCACTGAAAACACTGCAAAATGTGCAACGCACTTGCAATGTCATGTTTTCATTTGTTGCATGACAAGGAACGGAAAAAGCACTTGGCTCAGTGCCAAAAAAAAAAAAAAAGATCATATTTGAGCTTCAATGTCATTTTTGTTGGGATGGGAAACCCATTAGAGTGAAAGGGTTTCCCTCTGCTGGTGTGAATGGGGCCTCAAACATGGCCAAACTTCCGTCATATGAATGTGCCTTTGAAAACGATTAAACTATTCATAACTGAAAAGATTTGATCTCTGCTGTTTGTCTCAGGCTCCATGCACACTGGGGAGGCATTTTAATAACACTGGTAACGTCACATTAAAAAATGAGTTAATCATTTTGCCACTTTTTTCACATTTATAGAGGGGGGGGGGGGGAGAGAGAGATATCGATCATTTTCCCCGGTACAAATTATTAGTAAGACCTCATCTGGAATATGCAGTTCAGTTTTGGACACCAATTCACAAAAAGAACATTGGGGAACAGGAGAAAGTACAGAGAAGGGCAACCAAACTGATAAGAGGCATGGAGGAGATCAGCTATGAGGAAAGATTAGAGGAACTGAATGCATTCTCTCTTAAGAGAAAAGAAAATTAAGGGAGGATATAATCAACATGTACAGTCATGGCCAAAAATATTGTCCCTCCTGCATTTGTCAGATAATGCATCACTTCACCCAGAATATTGTTGCAATTACAAATGTTTCGGCATTCTCATGTTTATTTCTTTTGTTTGTATTGGTATGACACAAAAAAGTGGAGAAACAAATCGACACATTCCATGGAAAACCCCAATAATGAACAAAATTATTTTCACCCTCAATTTATTATTTGCTAGAACACCAGCACTACAGCGCCGTGGCAGTTCATTGAAAACTACAAGCTCCAAGGAGCAGGGCCCTCGAACCCCTCGTGTATCGCACTGTATTATTATTGTACTGTCTCATGTATTGTCCCCCATTGTAATGTACAGCGAACTGTTGGCGCTATATAAATACTGTATAATAAGAACTACAAGCTGACAGGCGCTAAGGCTGTTGAGACTTGTAGTTCACTCACTCAAAACTTTGTGAATGAATGACGCAGCCACGTGGGTGACCCCGCACGGCCGCGCTGTTTTTAAAAACTGACAGCTTGTAAGGGGAACTTCTCTCTGTACTGTACTGGAGGAGGCAAATTGGGCAGAAGCTGCAGCATTGGGAACATGTTACCAAAAAACGGGTGGAACGTAATATGTTCCCAAAGGTGAACTTATCCTTTAAAAAAAAAAAAAAGTCCTGGATTCTTTCTTGGATACACAGAATATAAGTGGATATAACATTTATAGGGAAAGTTGATTCAGGGAATATCCGATTGCCTCTCCTGGGATCAGGAAGACATTTTTGTCCCCTGCTGGAGCAAATTGGATCATGTTTTCTTGGGTTTTTTTTTTTTTACCTTCTTCTGGATCAACGGTAGGTATACGATAGTGCGTATAGATGTTTTCTGTTTGTGCGTGTTATGTTTGTTTTTTTTCTTTTCTGTTGGTTGAACTGGATGGACTTGTGTCTTTTTTCAAACAGAATAACTATGTAACCTTGTTTACAAAAATGGAAAATAGCTGATCTACCAGCAAGAGAGTTCTGTAGTGTTCTTGTATGTAAATTACAATAAATGATTCATGCTGCAAGCTCCGGTGAGGGCCACATCCATGTTTCAAGAGAAGATTATGAATGACAAGTTTAATATAGCCATTGTGCTGGCATGTTTTTGTATTTTTTTTTTTTGTTTTTTTATACACATGTGCTTTATAGGTTCCCATTGATGACAGTGTATGAAAATGCATTATTGTTAATATTGCACATAAAAACGTGCAGAAGTGCGAATCCATCCTAAAGATCTCCTAGATTGTAAGCTCTAACGAGCCGGGACCTCCGTTTCCTCTTGTAATTGTATTGTAACTATAATATTTACCTACATTTAGTAAAGCGCTGAGCAAACTGTTGGCACTATATAAATCCTGTATAAATATAATAATAAAAAAGATAAACATTATTAAAATACAAAATATGCGCTTACTTGAAACACACTATTTGCCCTGTATACCCATTTTTTTTTCTAACCTAAACAAATGTGTTAAATGTCACCTACATTCGATATCAACTATTATCAGCACCAAGTAGGCCCAAAAGTCGAATTTAAAAAACGCACCTTCACAATAAGAACTACTGCCAAATCTTTGAATTCTTCCTCTTCAAGTGTAACGGCGTTCTGGTTTTCATTAAACTTGCGCTGCCGAAGTAAAACCTATTAGCAAAACTGCCATTTTTTTTACAGATGGCCCAGAACCAGTAAATCCGTGTTAAATAAGAACTGTACTATTTTATGGAAGAGGGGAAAAAAATTCAGCGGCAAGCAGCAGTTCGCAGATAACGTCTCTCAGTTCTTCCCTAAGGCTACAAAATAATTGCATGCAGAGTGCCAGAAACATGCCCGGCTCCTTGGTTTACAGGGAAAGCCGAGAGAGAAGAAAATGTGATTTTTTTTTTTGACTTGTAAAAACAGGGCTTAGGCAAATAATATCTTAATAAATAATAATTAAAATCAAACTTAAAAGTTCATATTCGGAGTAATGTGAACTGAAGCAATAGGGCATAAGACACGTTGCCTTGTCTATGCGTTGGTCAATGCTGACCAATGGCAGCCCAACCACCAGGCTGTTGTGAAACAGCCCTTGGGAAAGTCAATATTTGCATATCTGAAGGCACGCCTCCCTCCATGGAACAATGGTAAGCCCTGGTGGTTGATCGCTCAGTTCTAGTTTGAGATGGAGAAGAAGCCTCCATATTTGCCCAATAAATTAGTTTCAGGGGCTAACATAGAAGATCTGGCTGCTAAGGAGTAAGGCCTGGGGGGCAATGAGACAGAACAAGCAGTCAGGTTAGGCTACATTCACGCCTGTGTTTTCACCTGACATTGTGTAGATACAAGAAAATCAGTGGGGGGTCCCGGTAATTAGGTTTGGGTGGCATACCCATTGAAAGCAATGGGAGGCTGGGAGGCAGTGTGCCGCGTGGTGTGACGGTGGCAGAAACCACACAAAGGCCGAGCAACATGTGAATTGCAATGGGAGGCTGGTAGGCAGTGTGCCGTGTGGTGTGACAGTGGCGGAAACCACACAAAGGCCGAGCAACATGAATTGCAATGGGAGGCTGGTAGGCAGTGTGCCACGTGGTGTTAGTGGCAGAAACCACACAAAGGCCAAGCAACGTGAATTGCAATGGGAGGCTGGTAGGCAGTGTGCCGCGTGGTGTGACGTTGGCAGAAACCACACAAAGGCCAAGCAACGTGAATTGCAATGGGAGGCTGGTAGGCAGTGTGCCGTGTGGTGTGACAGTGGTGGAAACCACACAAAGGCCGAGCAACATGAATTGCAATGGGAGGCTGGTAGGCAGTGTGCCACGTGGTGTTTTAGTGGCAGAAACCACACAAAGGCCGAGCAACATGAATTGCAATGGGAGGCTGGTAGGTAGTGTGCCGCGTGGTGTTATGGTGGCGGAAGGCACACAAAGGCCAAGCAACATGAGCTGCGTATTGTAGAAAGCTCCAACAAGGTACGACTAGGCCCAGCGGGGTAGCGCCACCTACAGAGGGGAGTATGTGCTGCAACTGCCTACAGGCTGTTATCTCCCGGCGCTAACTGCAGCCACTTGCATATAAACATTATGCAGCAATTAACCAGCCTGTTATCGGCCCTGGATGAGGAAAATCTTCATCCAGGTCTGACCATTCACAGGTGATCATCGCATAGCAATTGCATGCGAGTGACTGCAATTCGCTGCGGAAGCCAGCCGCCGACTAATCACCCCAGATTTTCTCAAAATGAAATGCTGTCGAGCGAAAAAAAAAAAAAAAAAAAAACTCAGGTGTGAATATAACCTCATGGTGAAGGAACCGTACAAAATGAAAAATGTTTACTACATTTCAATAAAAGTACAAAGGAAAATCATAGTAGTAGTATTACCCTAGGTTCACATTTGCGCGGGTGGTGCCGCTGCGGATCCGCACAAAAATCCGTGCAGCCGCACCACCCGCACAGAGGGATGCGGACCCGCAGATGCCATTAGTTCTAATGGCACACCGCCCGCACTGAAAAACGCAACCGTACTGGGAAACGAGGTTCTCGTGCAGGCTGAGTTTTCCAAAGAAGTGCAGATTCCAATGAATGGGATGTCGTGCCCATGCAAAACGCGGCCCGCACGGCCGCATATATGTGAACCAGGGGTTCAACGCTCAACATTTTTGACATGAATACAGTAAAAAAAAAAAATCCACTCAACATTCCCCAAGAGTATAATAATACCCCAGTGCGTACAGTTTTTTTTCAAAGCTGTTGTGTCCAACTCCCTGAGCACTGCTTCCCTGAACATCCTTTTGGGGGATGTGCACATTGAATGCTATTGAGCTACTGTCTCGAGCTATTGTCAAGGATGGGGGGAGCAGGAGAGTAGCTTGAGCCTAGCAGGACTGTTTGTGTAGACATTTGCTAGTCCCCTACGGTGGCTCCACCCCAAGGCAACAAAGCCACCTGAAATTAGAAACCTGTAATGATCTTCGGACCAACCCAATTAAAGACATTAGCCTAGGCACCAAGGCCAAGTGTTTGTGTTGACATTTGACTGTAGTCCCGGACTGGGGTGAACAAGCCACGGTGGCTCCATAGGACCCTTCAAGGCAACAAAGCCACCTGAAATTAGA